TTGACCTGCTGGACAAGGGTGCGCACATCTACTTCTGCGGGCTCAAGGGCATGATGCCCGGCATTATCGACACGCTCAAGAGGGTGGCCGAATCAAGAGGGCTAGACTATGAGGAGTTCTCTGGCAAGCTCAAGAAGAACCACCAGTGGCACGTGGAGGTGTACTAAACGCGTGGTGGAAATATTAGTGGGGTTGTGCACGTGTTCTTGTGTTTGTGAGCGTTGGCGCTTGAGCACGTGAATTATTTGTTGAACCTGGTTATCTATCTTGGTTCTCATTTTTGCCGTACATTGATGGTCACGGAATGTAATCAACGTAAACAGAGTATTCCATTTCTTGTCTGAAGTAATTAGGGTGAGAGTCACCGCACAGGTTTTAAAGTAAAATGAAGATATATGTTGGTCGGAATAGCAGCCTTTCCAGCAGCTGCCGTGTTGCCAAACGGACTGCACTGTACCGTCTTGAAATTGCTGTTTTCGTAACTTCAAATTCTAGCGGTGGCCTGGAAATGTCCCAAGATTCCCTCGGCACAGTCACATCCCAACAGGCACGCCACAACCGCACATCTTTCCGCATTCCCGGGAAGCCGCGCAAATTCCAGTGTGGCAAGCAACCTCCTCCAGCAGCGGAACCAAACCAACACCGAGGGTTTCTGCGGATAGTGGGTTCATCTCTTTACAATTGAAACCCTCGTCCCTTTCCAAGACATCTCATCGCTTCTTTGTTCCTGTCATTCCCTCACACTCGTATACCACCACCATTTTCCAATCATACTCTCCAGCCCCAGGCTTGTTTGCTTCTAAGGACAATAAAACAGCTCCACCCACATAGTGTGAACGAAGAGTGCAGTTATCGTTTGCTTTCGTTGATGTTCCTAAGCGGATCTACGTTTTGCGCGAGCTAATTGCTGATTGACGATCCGGGATGACATGATCTGGATCTAACTAACCTGAAAAGGTTCAAGTAAAGGAGCATCGCAAACTGTGGTTACGCCTTTGAGGGAAGATTTAACAAACATGTCGAATCCAATGGTCTCGTCCGCATCGCAAGCGTTCCACAATCCGCCAACGCTCACTGATCCAAATTATGCACAACCCCCTCCTGCCAAGCGTGTTAGAGTGAGGCGCGTAACTTGGGCATCAGATGATCGACTTCGAGAGGTTTGTCTTCGTCGCTTTTGGGCAAGTTATTGGTCGTCTATGCTATTCTTGCCTTCTAATCTCAGATCTCGTAACAGTAACGACCCACTAAACTAAATGTGCATTAGCTGCTATTAGGCTCATCTTGCCGTTTATGCTTAACTCTTTCTGTCCCCTCGTCGGATTCTTGCTTCCACGGAATACAACGTAAGGAGGCTAGTTACAAATTGTTTGTTCTAATCGCCTAGATCTACTACGATAATGTCTCGTCGTGCATTGATGCATCCGCCGTTTGCCGTCACTTTCAATTATGATGTGTAGTATAGAACAACTTCCTAATACCTTTCAAATACCGATCTTCTTCGAGTTCTCGTAGTTCATAAAGTTACCGTATATTAAGTCGTGTGTTCCGAACCAGATCTGTCCGTGTTTCGCAGCGTTGTAGCAAGCAAGTTATTGTTTCTCCGCGCTGTCTTCACCAGGTCCGTCTGTTCAACACAGAAGATGCCCCGTGCATGGCCATATCCACAGGCCTTGGGGGTGCCCCCCCAGCTCCATCCACTAGTTTCCGATCTTCCATGGACGGCCCTCCGGGTTTTAGCCGACCTAAGAAAGTCCGGTGCGACTCCGCGGCAGTGGCGGCGATGGTGACTCAAACTCCTTGGAAGGCTCCTGAAAAAGTAGGGTCGGATTCCCTTGACCCATTGTTACACGCCGTTGTGTGCTGGTGTGCTGGTGATCTTGGTTGGCCGAGACTGTTGCCGCGGCGGGTAGAATCTGAATTGGGATGGCCTTGCTCATGTGTCACCGCGCGGCGTGCACAAGAGAGGGGGGGGGGTGAAGGGCGAGCTGGTGATGGGCCAAAGAGAGCCAGAGGGGAGAAACGGAATGTTGGGAGGGGGTTATGATGGAGGGGTTTGCGGATTGGGGAAAGAAGAGAGGGAGAAAGGGGAGGGGAAGGGTGGTGCGGAAGGGGGGTGTGAGATAGCTGACGAGAGTGAAGTAAGTGAGGATTTGGTAGGGAGAAAGAGGGTAAGGGGGAAAGAATGAGGCGTTGGTGGGAGATGGTGGAGAGCAGAGAGAGAGGGCAGTAAGAGAGGAAGAGTGAAGGAAGGGAAGCAGTGGGGGAAGGACTGGGAAAAGTATTCTGCTTTTTCGGTTCTTAGCATCCTTAACTGTTGCAGCCATTGCAAGAAAGGGTTGTGAGAATCGGAGGGAGATAACCACCTTATCTGTGGGCTTCTGAGGATCGGGATGAAGGGCTATAAGCGTTGCAAGCTCACACCCCTGTGGGAAGGTGGTGGACCCTTGGGGCGTGCGTGCATGAGAGGCCCTGGATGCGAACTGGCCAGTTGAAGCCCGAGGAGCACAGGGAGGCACTTCACACCATTGCAATTGCCTGGATTGGAGTGGGCTTGAAGGCACGCATGTATCCCACTTGGAGGGGTGCATAGGGGCTCCCACGGCTCTGAGGGGCCTTCTAGGGGGCTCCTAGGGCTCTGAGGGGGTTCCTATGGGACTCCTATGGGGTTTTATGGGCCTCCTATGGGGCTCCTATGGGGCTCTCAGTGCTCCTTATAGTCGGTGCAAGGGAGAAGCTGTGGTGTGGGATGGATCAGCAGTGCCTTTCACACTAGCACCTTCATCATATGTCCTGCTCTGCTGCTTCGTGCTGCAAGTTGGTGTGGTGGAAAAGGAGGGCGTAATCAAGCAACGCATGTCCGTTCCTTCCATGCTGTGGTACTGGCTGTGACTGTACGCAGGTGGAGTTGGAGACGGAGTGGCAGGTGGTGGCGGGGGAAGACAGTGCGCAAGTGGAGGTGCAGAAGCAGAGGGAGATGCGCTCCTTCGAGGCCTTCTATCCCAGGCCCTCTGCCATCCCTGACTCGTACGCACAGCCCTTTATGTCTTCACCTTGCTTCTGGGATCTGTCTGTCTTCCGTTTCCCCCTACTTCCGCTCATGCTTGTATTCTGTTTCGTTTCCCCTGCTCTCCATATCTTGTCCCATTCCATCCCCTTTCTCCCCTTCCCCCCTCCCTCCCCATCCCCACGCTGTCTCGGCCCTCTACTCTCCCGCCCTTCTCTCATCCCACCCCCTCTCTCCCTCTCCCTCTCCCTCCCCTCCCCGCCGCCGCCGCTCTCCCTGTGCCAGCCCGGCAGAGCCACAGGATCCGTTGGAGGCGGTGCAGGACGACAGTCGCATCCCCGTCATCCCGCTCGTCTCCCTGGACGACGACGCTGCTGATGAACCCGACGCCTCCGCCTCCGCCTCCGCCGCTCCTCCGCCCGACTCCGCCGCAGCAGCCGCAACAGGGGAAGCCGCAGCAGGCGCAGGAGCAGCGGGAGGAGCAGCGGCGGGGGGAGGGGCCGTGGGAGGCGGAGGGGAGCAAATGCCAGGGCCGTTACCTGGGCAAGGTCCTGCGCCGGGGTATCCCAGGAGACCGGATATCATGACAGCAGGCCCACACGCGCAAGTGCCAGTGCCCCCGGCAGGACTGGGAGCAGGAGCGCCTGCCATGCACCCTGGACGGCCGCCCATGCATGGGCCCCCGATGCATGGCCCACCTATGCACGGCCCGCCTATGCATGGGCCTCCGCCTATGCATGGGCCGCCTATGCCTCACCATGGCGGCGGTATGGGGTGGAGGGGACCTCCTCCCGGCATGCAGCATGAGGGGCCAATGGGCCATGGCATGGGGCCTCCTCCCTGGAACGGGCCTAGGGGGGGTGATGGCGGCGGCGGCGGCAGAGGCATGGAGAGTGCGCGCAACGGCATGGGGAATGCTGGGTTTGCTGGTTCGCCTGGGGCTGCGGGAGGAAGGATGATGAAAGGCGAAATGGGAGATGAAACGGGTGTGTCTGCACGGGGTCTTGGGAGTGGTGGGAGCCGTGAGGGACAGGCAGGCGGAGGAGGAAGAGGTGGGGGACGGGGCGGAGGCGGGGTAGGTGGAGGAGAAGGAGGAGGAAGGGGAGGGGGGAGAGGGGGAGGAGCAGGGGTTCCAGCAGCTGAGATTGCAGCGGCAGCAGCAGCAGCTGTGGCGTCTCTCTCGGATTCAGGGACGGTGGATGAGGAGTTATTGGCAAAGACAATTGCGGCGCTCACAGCGTCACAGAGTGCAGCGGGAGTGGGCGCGGGATCAGCTCGTAACGGCCCAGAGCAGGGAGGAGCAGCAGCGGCAGCAGTAGCGGCGGCGGCAGCGGCGGCAGCAGCAGCAGCAGGAGGAGACGCAGGAGGGCCAGGCCCGCGTGTTTCGATACCGCCTCCCACGGATGGCATGGGCAGGGGACTGGACGATTTCTCCTCGCGGGACAACGCTTTTGGTCATCCCGGCTCCATGCCTAGAGAAAACGGCTTCAGCCCGGGTCCTGGTTCCGCTGCTGGCGGTGCTAATATGGGAGAAGCCGGGCCTCCAATGCGACCCCTGGGGCCGCATTCCGGGCCTCCTCGCGGGTTTCCCCCCCACGGAGGCCCTCCGCCTGGTCCTGGCGGCCCTCCTCCCCGGGCCGGCGGCCCTGCAGGCCCCCCTGGACCCATGCCCATGGGTGGCGCGGGCGGACCCATGGGCGCTGCAGCAGGTGGCGCAGGAACAGCAGGAGGTGGCGGAGGAGGCGGCGGAGGAGAAGGAGGAGGAGGAGGAGGGCCAATGGGGCAGGTTGGTCCCATGGGACTTGCGGGTCCTCGTGGGGGCCCTGGGGGACCCGGGGGCCCTGGGGGTCCTGGGGGGCCCTTTGGACCGGGCGGGCCAGGTGGCTTGGGCGGAAGATCTTCAGGGCCAGGCGGGCCGCCCTTCCGACCGCCCTTTCCACCCAACGGGCCCGGCCCAGGGCCATTCCCCATGGGCCCGCCGGGACCCGCGGGTATGCCTCCCGGCCCTCCCCCATTCCCTGGACCCGGAGGACCAGGGGGCCCGGGGGGACCAGGGGGCCCGGGGGGACCGGGGGGACCAGGGGGACCAGGGGGACCCGGGGGACCGGGGGGATTCAGAGGGCGAGGGGGAAGGGGTCCGCCAGGGCCGAGAGGGATGGGGTTTATGGGTGGGCCCAGGGGACGGCCGGATGGGCCGCCACCGCCTTTCCATGGCGGGCCTCCTCTGCCTGCTCCTCCCCGCGCGCCCATGAACGGCCCGCCCACGCCGTTTGGCCCGGAAGAAGGCCCGTTTCCCCCGTTCAGTGAGCCTGGTAAGGGCCCTATGCCCCGCCACATGGGCCCGCGCATGGGGCCTGGTCCTGGCCCGAATGCTGGCCCGAACTTCGGCCCTAACATGCCCCCCGAATTTGGTGGCAACATGGGTCCAGGTGGCAACATGGGTCCAGGTGGCAACATGGGTCCAGGTGGCAACATGGGTCCAGGTGGCAACATGGGTCCAGGTGGCAACATGGGTCCAGGTGGCAACATGGGTCCAGGTGGCAACATGGGTTCTGGGCCGGGCATGAGTCCAGGGCATGGCATGGGGCCTGGTGGTGGGCCTAAATTCGGACCTGGTGGCCCGGGGGGGGCTCCCCCTGCTGCTGATAGCCCTTTCCAGGGGGCCATGCGGGGACCGCATGGGGCGTGGCAAGGCAGGGACGGCGGTGGTGGTCGAGCGAGAGGGGTGGGTGAGGGGAACGATGGAGAGGCGGGTGATAGGGGAGGAGCAGCACAGGGGGGAGGGGCGGCGGCAGCAGCAGTAGGAGGAGGAGCAGACGGAGTGGTGAGCAGCAGCAGGGATGGGGCAGCAAGAGAAGGTGTTGGGCGTGGCGGTGATGTTGAGTCGGATGGCCGGATAGACAGATTCGAGCGAGGAGGTAGTCTGGACAAGGAGAAAGGCGATGCAGGAGGTACAGCAGATGGAGCAGCAGGAGCAGCAGCAGCAGGAGCAGGAGCAGGAGCGGGCATGTATAGGTCAGGGGTGAAACCGTCTATCCAGTGGGTGACCAAGGTTGAGAAGGTGCCTGTTGGGGCTCCCATGGGCGCAGGTACAGAACCGGGAGCAGCAGCAGGCGCAGCTGAAGGGCCGTTGCAGCAAGGACCAGGGGGAATGCAAGGCTCGTCAGCAGCAGTGGCAGGCGCAGCAGGGACAGCAGGAGCAGCAGGGCAAGCAGGGGGAATACAGGGACCACAGAGCCACATGTCTGCCATCACACCATCCAATGGCCCATCCACTGGCCCTCTGAATGGCCCGCCTAATGGCCTTTCCAATAGGCCCCTCCCCACCGGCGCTTCCAGCGGACCCACCAACAGCTCCGTCCCTGGTGCTGCGGATGTGCCTGCTGCTTCCCCTGGCGCCCCCGCCTCTCTCTCTGGGAATGCCCCAATTGCGCCTCAAGGACCCCTGGGGCCCCCCAATGGCCCTCCAGGCCCCCCTGGGCCCCAAGGCTGGGCGGGTGGGGCACCGTTTAATGGCATGGGCGGGCCCTTTCCCGGGGGAAGGGGGGGAGGGGGGATGGGAGGGGGCGGGATGGGCGGAGGGGGGATGGGAGGGAGAGGGATGGGAGGAGGGATGGGCGGAGGGGGCATGGGCGGAGGAGGCATGGGCGGAGGGGGAATGGGCGGAGGGGGAGTGGGAGGAGGGGGAATGGGTGGAGGGGGCATGGGCGGAGGGGGAGTGGGTGGAGGGGGAGTGGGCGGAGGAGGCATGGGCGGAGGAGGCATGGGCGGAGGGGGATTGGGCGGAGGGGGATTGGGCGGAGGGGGAATGGGCGGAGGCGGAATGGGCGGAGGAAACATGGGCGGAGGAAACATGGGCGGAGGAGGCATGGGCGGAGGAGGCATGGGCGGAGGAGGCATGGGCGGAGGAGGCATGGGCGGAGGGGGAATGGGCGGAGGGGGAATGGGCGGAGGGGGAATGGGCGGAGGGGGAATGGGCGGAGGGGGAATGGGCGGAGGGGGAATGGGCGGTCCATTTCCCCGGGGTCCCCCTGGCGGGCCAGGGTTTGGGGATGGGCCCCCGGGACCCCCGTTTGGGGAGTTTGACAAGCAGGGGGGCGGAGGAGGGTGGGGAAGGGGAGGCCCTGGAGGAGGGGGAGGGAGGGGGCGGAGGCGGTGCCTGTACTTCAACACACCATCAGGGTGCAGGAATGGCCCCCGGTGCACCTTCCTGCATGAAGGGCCGGGACCCGAGGGATTCGTGGGTGGCGGTAGAGGCGGAGGAGGCGACTGGGGTGGCGGGGAATGGGGCGGTGGAGAGTGGGGTGGAGGTGAATGGGGAGGTGGTGGGGGAGGCGGGATGATGGGGGGAGGTGGGGGTGGTCGTGGCGGGGGGATGATGGGGCCGGGGGGGAGAGGAGGGAGGATGGGGGGTGGAGGGCGAGGGGGGATGATTGGTAGAGGTGGGGGAAGAGGCGGGCGGATGGATGAGAATGGGGGAGACATTGGCATGGGTGGGGGGGATGAGGGAGGCATGGGGGGGAATATGGGGGGAACTGGAGGTCCTGGGGGTATGGTTGGGGGAAGTACGGGTGGGGGGAATCTGGGTGGAGCAGGGGGTATGGGCAGAGGCGGGAATATGGGCGGAGGGGGCAATATGGGAGGAGGGAATATGGGAGGAGGGGGAAGCATGGGCGGAGGGGGAAATATGGGTGGAGGGGGAAGCATGGGCGGAGGGGGAAATATGGGTGGAGGGGGAAGCATGGGCGGAGGAGGAAACATGGGCGGAGGGGGAAGCATGGGAGGGGGAGGAAACATGGGCGGAGGGGGAAATATGGGCGGAGGGGGAAATATGGGCGGAGGGGGAATTATGGGCGGAGGGGGAAGCATGGGCGGAGGGGGAAATATGGGCGGAGGGGGAAGCATGGGCGGAGGGGGAAGCATGGGCGGAGGAGGAAACATGGGCGGAAGGGGAAGCATGGGCGGAGGGGGAAATATGGGTGGAGGAAGTTTTATGGGAGGTGGGGACTTTGGAGGAGGTATGGGTGGAGAATGGAATGACGGGAACTGGGAGGGCGAGAACTGGGGGAATCCTGCTGCCATGGGTGGTAGGGAAGGCGGTAGGGCGATGATGGAAGGGGGCATGACATCAGGGCAGGGGGGTGCAGGCAGTGGCAGCAGAGACAGCGTGATGGGCGGTGGTGGTGGTGCTGGTGGCGCTGGTGGTGTGGATGGTGGGGGTGGAGGAGGAAGAGGAGGAGGGCGGGGAGGAGGAGGGGGGCGGGGAGGTGACTTCAACTATAATTGATGCTGTTGCTGCTGGAGGAGCATTGTGTGCTATCGTTTCAAGGTACCGCCTTGTGCCTACTTGCTGCCGCCATGCCTGTGCTCCATGCACATGCACATGCACATGCACATGCACTTGCACGTGCACGTGCACATGCACGTGTCACTGTGTCGTTGCTTCGTGTGCCATGAACCACAAGCAAGTCACTGCAGTCACTATGGCCACCTGCTGCCACCATGTTTCTCATCATGCACGCCTCCAGCGTCTAACACTCCCTTACTGACAACCTGCGCTGCACCACGGTAGTGCACCACCATGTGCGTCTGCTGCTTCTAAAGAGTTTGTCAGCCCATGTACACTTTCACACAGGTTTATACACACAGGTGTATGCACGTATGCACCTGCGCTCCGTGCTTTATTGCAGTAGCAACTTGGTGCCCACTTGTCTCACTTGCATCTTTGTGCATATTCATGCACATGCATTTGCTCATACACATGTACACTTCATCACACACGGAGAGCATCGTGTCAACTTTCGCCTGCACATGCATGTACATGCATGCAAAGGCATACACATGCACAGACGTACGTGCACTTGCTGCATGCGCACACATATGCCCGCACATGGTCCCATGTGCCCTCACCCACATACTCCACCCATCGCTATGGGGGTATCTCTTCTGCTCAAGCTGAGAAGGAGGAGGAGGGGGGGGGGGAGGGTGAGGGGAAGGAAGATGAAGGGTAGGGGTGGGGGGTGTGGAGTGGGAGGGGAGGTGAGGTGTGGGATAGTGTATGATACTTCTATATTGCTTCTTTGCTGTGGTTGCTGGAGCCCAGTTCCCAGCTCAATTCCGCACTCACGAGTGCCGTGCCGCCCTCCTGATGCACGTCAACTTAGAGTAGCTCAGAGTGCAACTGAAGCAAGCTGGTTGCATGGTGCAGGAAACTCAGAACGTCAGGAGTCTCTGTGTACCCGTCACAACCATCCCCCCGCCACCTCACAACCCCCTCTGCATAACCTCCCGTGGTTTTCCTCTTTCTTAATTTCCCCACCACTTTCAGAATGCCGCATCTGAAGCTGGCCAATGTGTGAGGCGCACAGGCTATGGTACTCCTGCCGCCACTCACACACGCGCAAGAGCCCTTCTTTTCGCCATCATGAAATCAACCGAGCATCCGCAGGCAGCAGCAGCAGAAGCAGCACGTGCTGTATGGTGTTGTGTCGTGCACTACTGCGTACCGTTCCGTGCCATGCCGTGCTGTGCCGTGCACATCAACCGCTCCACCATGCTTGGCCATAGGAAATGCAGAAAGGATTAGTCTGGATATATGTGCGTGGGTGGGTACCAGGTTGCTTTGCTGTGCTTCCAAAGCGCCTGGCATACTCATCAGGCATCCATCCATCCAGCCTCTTCTCATCTGCCTGCTGGAGCCTTGTTGCAAGCTGCTGCACTGGACTGGGCACCCTTGCCTGTATTGCGTGCTGGAGCCAGGCACCTGAGCTTACAGCAGGGCCGTGCATGCTCTGCTCTGGCCTGCTGTGCTGTGCTGTGCTGTGCTGTGTTGCGCGGAACTGAGTGCGAGTGTGTTGTGCTGCGTGATGCCACTCGGGGCTTGCCCATGAGCAGGGTGTGCAAATCGCAGAGCTTTGGCATCTTACCTTGTGCTTCTCACTTGCAAGATGCACTCGGGGTAGCATGGCAACGGTGACTTTGCATCGGTTGTAGGTATCGGTCAATGTCAAATGTTATAGCCTATTGTGGGTCATGCTATATGGGGTACAAACAGTTAGGGTTAGGCATATGTACCCCAACCCAATCAATACTACTCATTCCGCTGTAGTCTGTTTCTGAGATGGTATTTGCAGTAGGTTAGCCGTTCCTAGGCCACGCCCAGTATCCGCCGTTCCTAGGCCCCGCCCAGTATCCGCCGTTCCTAGCCTTAGGCCGTCTCTAGCCTTGGCATACCTTCCCTCCTCCCCGTCTGCCCTATTCGCGCTAGCCAGCCCGTACGCCAGCGCGCCACGCCAGCGCGCCACGCCAGCGCGCACGCCAGCGCGCCACGCCGACGCGCACGCCAGCGCGCACGCCAGCGCGCCACGCCAGCGCGCACGCCAGCGCGCCACGCTGACGCGCACGCCAGCGCGTCACACCGACCAGCGCGCCACGCCGCCCGCAGGCCAGCGCGCCGCGCCGCCCGCAGGCCAGCGCGCCGCGCGGCCCGCCAGCCAACGCGCCGCGCCGCTCACCAGCCAGCGCGCCGCGCCGTTCGCCAGCCAGCGCGCCGCGCCGCCCGCCAGCCTGTGCGCCGCGCCACTCGCCTGTCCGCATGCCGTGCCGCCTGCCCGCTTGCACGCCTGCGTGCCTGCTCACACGCCTCTGACTGTCTCACCCTCCCGCGGCTGGCAGCCGCGTTCTCTCACTTTCGCCCCCTATGGCGACCTCCCGAGTTCTTCGCTTTGACCCTGAGGGGAGACCTGTTGACTTTAGTACGTGGCTTACGCAGGCGCAGCGCCACCTTAAGAGCCAGCGGCAGGATGGCGTGCACCTGTTCGCACACGCGTCCGGCGCTCAGACCGCCCCTCTGCAGCCTCGGCCGCTGCCCACTACCCCACCGCCTGCTCCTGAGCTAGAGGCCGAGTACCAGCGCCAGCTCCTCGCTCGCGACGTGTGGGAGTCTCGTGACGCCGCTGCCTGCCTCGCCCTGACCGACCTTCTTCCGCCGACAGAGGCAGCCCACTTCGCTCAGGTCGAGTCTGCTGCAGATCTGTATAAGGCTATTGTTGCTCGCTACTCTACTCCCTCCTCTGCGTCGCTCAGTCGCCTCCTCGTACCCTTTATCTACCCTGACCTCGCCTCCTTTGAGACTGTCTCTGACCTCGCTACTCACCTGCGCTCCCTTGACGCTCGCTTTCGCGCTGCTTGCACTGAGGACCAGCTTGCCCTTGCCCCGCCCCCTATGTGGCTTACTATTCACTGGCTAGTCACTCGCCTCCCTGACCGCCTAGCCACAGCCCGCGACGCGCTTCTTCTGAAGCACCCCACTGAGCTTACCATCGATCTTCTTGAGACTGCTCTCTCGAAGATCGAGAGTAACCTCCTCACTGTTGCCTCTGCCTCTTCCGCGCCTCCTCCTCGTCTTTTTGAGGGGTGCGCGGTACCACAGCTTCCCACCTTCTCTGCCTCCCTTGCCACTCCCACGTCTTCTGCCTCTGAGGAGACGGCGGCTGTTTCTGTCTCTGGCGGACAGAAACGTGGCAAGGCCAGCAAGAAGGGCGGGAAGGGCGGCGGGGGTACTGGAGGTGGTGCGGGTAGTGGCGGTGGCGGTGGAGCAGGTGGTGGGAGTGGTGGTGGGGGTGGCTCGGGACCTGACGGCCCTCCTTTCGACGGTGGAGTTTTCACTGGTGGTGAGGGGTTCCAGCAGCAGCAGCAGCCGACTCCTCAGCAGCTGCCACCGCCTGGACAGCAGCAGCGGCAGGGACAGCAGCAGCAGCAGCGACAGGGCCAGCAGCAGCGCCTACCGCAGCAGCAGCCTCAGCAGTGGGGCCCTCCGCAGCAGTGGGGCCCTCAGCAGCAGTGGAGGTCTGCGGGTCCCCCGAGCACTGGGCGCAGTGGCGCCCCCTCCAGTCGGGGACCTCGCGCGGCCGGCCGCGACGTTGGTCCCTGTGAGTACTGGATCCTTACGGGTCCTCGTAGGGACACGTACTGTGGCCGCCCCGACCACTCTGCTGCACGCTGCTTCAGTCGTCTCGACGACCTCTACCGCTTGCACCACGGCCCCTCCGCTCCCCCGCCGCCACGCTGGGGGACGCTGCTTGCTCGTGGCATTGCTGTTTTTGATATGACTATGGATGATGCTAGGTCTTATGCCATGTATGCTGATGTTGACTATAGTGCTCCTGGATCTGTGTACTTGCCTGTACCTAGCTTAGGATCTTTGCCTGTTGCTAGAGTAGGTGCTAGTGTAGGATCTTGCTTAGCTACTAGTACAAGTACTCCCTCGGCGAACGAGTCTCTCTCCTTCACACTGGACTCGGGAGCGTCGCACTGCTTCTTCCGCGACTGCACGACTCTCTCTCCGCTACCGGCGCCTGTCCCTGTAGCACTGGCCGATCCCACCTCGGGACCGGTCATTGCGACTCACGCCACTACTCTCCCGTGCCCAGCTGCTCCTTCTGGTTCCCTGACCGGCCTCCACGTTCCTACGTTCTCTAGGAACCTGGTTGGTGTGGGCACCCTGGCGAGACAGCACGTCGGTGTCTGGGTTGAGCCTTCTGGTGACACCGCAGTCTGCGTCGACGGTGACACGTACGCCCCCTTGGCCACTTTCCGCCAGGAGCCGGGCTCTGGTCTGTACACCCTCCGCACCGACCCCCGTCAGGTTCCCCCGTCCCACCAGGTAGCCGGGTCCAGTCAGGTTGCTGTGTCAGGTGTAGTTGCTGCGTCGTGCTCGTGTCGGTCGCTTGCCCACCCCACCGTTCTGTGGCACCACCGGATGGGGCACCCGTCCCTTCCTCGTCTGCGCGCCATGTCCAGTCAGCGTCTTGTCTTAGGCCTCCCCCGAGTCCTCCCACCACTCCCGCCGTCCCCAGCTCCTCCGTGCGGTCCTTGTGTCCAGGGTCGGCTTCGCGCCACCCCTCACTCCTCCTCCCTTCGTCCGGCCACCGAGCCCTTCCAGACACTCCACTTAGACGTCTGGGGCCCCGCCTCCCGCCTTGGCCCTGAGCGGGAGAGTTTCTTTCTGGTGGTCGTTGACGATTACTCTCGGTACACCACCGTGTTCCCCTTGGCGAAGAAGTCCGACGTGACTTCTACGCTGATCCGGTGGCTCCTCGCCACCGAGGGCACTCGTGGTCGTCGTGTCAGTTGTCTCCACTCCGACCGTGGGGGTGAGTTTCGCTCCGGCATTCTCGCCAGATTCTGTGCTGAGCAGGGCATCACCCAGTCCTGGACTCTTCCAGACTCTCCACAGCAGAATGGGGTTGCTGAGCGCCGCATAGGCTTGGTCATGGAGATCGCCCGCACCTCCATGATCCACGCCCGCGCGCCCCATTTTCTGTGGCCCTACGCGGCTCGGTACGCCGCTCACCAGCTGAACCTCTGGCCTCGCGTCTCTCGGCCAGGGGCTTCACCGACCAGTCTTTGGACAGGGTCTCCTGGTGTTGCGTCGAGGTTTAGTGTCTGGGGCTGCTTGGCTCTTGTCCGCGACACCTCTGCGGACAAGATCTCGCCTCGCGCCGTCCCCTGTGTCTTCCTTGGTTTCCCAGAGGGCTCCTCTGACTTCACCTTTTACCACCCACCCTCCCACCGGTTCTTTGACTCTCGTGACGTCCGTTTCGACGAGTCCGTCCCCTACTACGTCAGGTACCCCTCTCGAGGTCTCCCGGTTCCCCCCCCTCCCCTCTTCCTGGCTCCAGCTCCTCCTCCTCCCGACCCTACTCCTCCGGTACCCCCCCCTGTTCCCGCTCCGTCTGGTGTGTCCCACGCTACTCCCCCCCCCTCGGTACCCCCCCAGGTCTCTCCTCCTTCCCCACAGTCGTCCTCACCGCCTCCGCAGCAGCCGTCGCCGCTTCCTTCACCGGCCACTGCGGACTCTGAGGGTGTTGGTGCTCGAGGAGAGGGCTCTGGCGGTGCTCGCTCTGGGGGTGCTGGCGTTGGAGCTGTTCGTGCACCTACAGGAGCAGCCACTTCTGGGGGTGTTGGCGTTGGCGCTGAGCGTGCACCTGCCGCAGCTGCCCGTTCCGAGGGTACTGGAGCTGGTGGTGGTGCTGGAGCTGGTGGTGGTGCTGGAGCTGGTGGTGTTTCTGGAGCTGGAGAGTCTGGGGCTGGTGCTGGCGCTACTGGGGGCACCGCGGCTGGGGGTGCTGCCGCAGGTGCTGGTCGTGCTGCCGCGAGGGGTCCTCGCTCTGGGGGTGCTCAGCCGGGTTCTGTCGAGGGCGGAGCAGGTTCTTCTTCGTCGTCTCCTGACACCACTCCTCTTCCTCACCACTCCTCCTCCTCACCACTCGACACCAGGCCCGTCTTCGTCTTGAGCGTGAGGAGCAGCAGCGTTTGGAGCGTGAGAGGTTGGAGGTTCAGCAGCGGGTGGAGCGTGAGAGGTTGGAGTTGCAGCGAGAGCAGCAGCAGCAGCAGCAGCAGCAGCAGCAGCAGCAGCAGCAGCAGCAGCAGCAGCAGCAGCAGCAGCAGCAGCAGCAGCAGCAGCAGCAGCAGCAGCAGCAGCAGCAGCAGCAGCAGCAGCAGCAGCAGCAGCAGCCGCAGCAGCCGGAGCAGCCTCCGGCACCTGTTTCTGGCCTTCGGGCCCTTGGTCTCCCCTCCTCTCCTCCTGTGTTCGGTCCTACGTTTCCTCCTCCGGACTCCACTCCGGCTGTCTTCCCTCGTTCTCGGTCTCCTCCGTCCCCCCCTCCTCTCGCCCACACTTGGGCCTCTCGTCCTCCTCGTGCTCGTCCCTCGTCCCCTGTCACTGACCTCCGTACCGTGTTGTTTCGTCCTAGTCCTCCTCGTTCTCCTCCGTCTGTCCTTCCTCGTCCTCCTGAGTCGTCCCTCACTGCCTCCCTGTCCACTCCGGTCACTGACTACTACCGCGCGTACCGCCCCACTCTCTCTCGTGTTCTCGCCTCTCTTGTTACAGACCCTCGTGCCTCTCCTTCCTCCGTCGCGGTCCTCACTGCCGCTGTCACTGACTTTACTGCTACGCGTCGCCTTGACTACGCCACTCGTGTTGTGGCCGCTCCTCCTGTCCGTCCTCTGTCCGCCGGGGGTGAGTCTGCCCTTGGCTGTGACGTCCTAGAGGACAGACAGTTTGAGCTAGAGTTCCTGGCAGCTGCTTCACCTCATCTCTGTGCCATGCTGCTCACTCCTGAGGGAGACCCCGACGCTCCTGACATACCTACTCCTCGCACCTACGCTGAGGCAGTGTCAGGGCCTTGGGCCTCTCAGTGGAGAGCTGCCATGGACGCAGAGATGGCCTCCTACAGGTCCACAGGCACTTACGTTGACGAGGTTCCCCCCCCAGGGGCGAACATCGTTGACGGCATGTGGATCTTCAAGGTGAAGCGGCCGCCGGGATCTCCCCCAGTCTTCAAGGCACGCTACGTGGCTAGAGGGTTCAGTCAGCGTGAAGGAGTTGACTTCTTCCAGACCTTCTCCCCCAACCCGAAGATGACCACTCTTCGGGTGTTACTACACGTAGCAGCGCAGAGAGACTACAAGCTTCACTCTCTTGACTTCTCTACGGTCTCCGCCAGGCACCCCGTGAGTGGCACGACACTCTCCGCTCTACTCTCTCCGACCTCGGGTTTGAGCCGTCTTCCGCCGACCCGTCGCTGTTTGTTCGTCGTGGGCGCACACCTTTCTTCGTTCTGGTCTACGTTGACGACTTGGTTTTTGCCACAGCCGACACAGCTGCACTGGCGGAGGTGAAGTCCGAACTGCAGAAGAGACACACCTGCACTGACCTTGGGGAACTGCGCCGCTACCTTGGCCTGCAGATCTCCAGGGACAGAGCCGCTCGCACCATCACTCTGACTCAGTCACACATGGTGCAGCAGGTCCTTCAGCGGTTCGGGCTTCAGGACTCTTCTCCTGCCCCCACTCCTCTTGCTGTAGACCACAGACTCACTGGGCCTTTTCCTGACGAGCCGTTCGAGCCCAGTGGTCCCTACGCAGAGCTGGTGGGCTGCCTCATGTACCTGATGACGTGCACTCGCCCGGACCTCGCCTTCCCTCTTAGCATCCTGTCTCGCTTTGTTGCGACTGGGAGACACCGTCCTGTTCACTGGGCAGCGGCTAAGAGGGTGGCGAAGTACCTTGGCGCGACATCAGGCATGGGGCTTGTACTTGGAGGGACACAGCCAGTTGTACTCACCGGTCACTGCGACTCCTCCTACGCCGACGACGTTGAGACTCAGAGGTCTACGCAGGGTTACTGTTTCAGCCTGGGTTCTGGAGCTGTTTCGTGGAGGTCTACTCGGTCCTCCTCGGTTGCGACTTCTACCGCAGAGGCCGAGATCTACGCTGGGGCCCTTTTTGCTCACTGACCTTGGTGAGCGGCCGAGCTCTGCACCGACCCTGTTTGCTGACAACAGGGCGATGATTCTCCTGTGTCGTGAGCCTCGACTGGAGAGCAGAGTGAAGCACATCGACGTCAGGTACTTCCTCCTTCGAGAGTTGCAGAGACGCGGGCAGGCTCGTCTGGAATTCGTGGCCTCCGAAGCCAACACTGCAGACATCTTCACCAAGGCTCTTCAGCCTTGTGACCACCGCCGGTTCTGTCTGCAGTTGGGCCTCGTTGAGACTGGGTCGAGTAGACTTCAGTAGTGAGTGCTTGTCTTTTGTCCTTGCTTGTACTGCATATAATTGCATATACACTCTTGAACTGGCCTTGTGGCCGCTGTTTGCGCTCAGACTGTGTGGTGACGTTGTGATCCACCCTGAGCTTGTTTTGTCTTTTGTTTGTGACTGGTCTTGTGACCTTAGGTTGCGTTTCTTGTTGCTTGGCATTCCCCACTTAGGCTATGGGGGTGTGTCAAATGTTATAGCCTATTGTGGGTCATGCTATATGGGGTACAAACAGTTAGGGTTAGGCATATGTACCCCAACCCAATCAATACTACTCATTCCGCTGTAGTCTGTTTCTGAGAGTCAACCCGAGCTATTGAAATGGCTGGGTGGATGAAAACAGGTGTTGTGGAGAGGATGATGCCCCATGTTGTGTGTTTGTACCAGGACGTAATGCTCAATTTGTGGAACCCTGATTTTTAGTAAGGCTGACTTGAAATCCCTGATTGTTTCCTGGCTTATAATAAAAAGCCCTTACATGAGTGAACATTACGCTTAGAGGGTACCGTGTATGATTCTAGGGTTTCATACTTTCCTTGGTCAAATCACTCTCGTTTCTGACAGAAACTGACTGATTCATGCCCTAAATGCTCTATGATGCCCAATATCAAACCCATGCTCTTGACACATCAGGGTCCTCCTAATGAGGTACTGTGAATACCGTACCACTGTTCGCACCACCCACTTGGGCACAAACATCAGATGCAGCCATAAGTTGGCTAACACCCCTCGCTCACTGTGCACCGTCACTGGCTCGCATATTGAACTCTACTACCCTACCCTGCTCCCACCCACACTACCCCCTTCCTTGAAACACAGCACTCCACCTATCTTGCACACCCTCGAAAGCTGCCTGACACAGCTCCAGCAGCCCACCCCCGTGCCTCACCGCCCCCTCCACACCCCATTCCACCGCAGCACACGTGGCATGCTGCCCTGCAGCCTCTGCAGCAGCCACAGCACAGCCCAGCGCAACGAGGAACACACTCAGGTTGAGCACCAGTCCGTGCAGCACATCCCTCACCATGCCAGCACGTGCCATCCAGTACCCCGTGCGCTCCATCATACCCATCATCTCACTCAGCGGGCTTGCTCCTGCTGCTCCTGCTCCCCCGCCCTCCGCCTCGCTTTGCCTTGCTGCTGCAGTCAAGCCCTGCAGCAGCCCTGCCAGGCCTGCAGGGCTGGCGGCGGCAGGTCTTGGAGAGATGAAGGTTTGGAGCACGAGGGAGGATGCGATGAGAGCAGCGTCCGTGGCCAGGACAGTCAGACAGGGGTGCGCTGGCAGGAAGAAGAGGAACCACAGCAGCGACGGTTGAGAGGAAAGAGAACCCTCACTCATGCCCGCTGCTGCTGCTGCTGCTGCTGCTGCTGTGAGCCCCTCAGGTGCCTCTGCTGCCGCTCCTGCAGACGCCGCGAGGGCAGGCAGCCAGTGAGTGAGGTGCGGGCAGTGCAGCGGCAGCATGCGCAGGCAGTAGAGCAGCGCCAGCAGCAGGGCTACAGCCAGGCGCACTGGCGCCGTGGCCTGTGCGGCTAACACCAGTTGCTGCATGGACAGCAGCAGGCGCATTGTGGAGCGCTTCTGCGCCCGGGGTGGCTCCTGGAATGCCCCAAACGCGCCACCTGCACCGCCCTGCCTGGGGCCCAGCAGTGGAGCGCTCACGCCCTGCTGCTGCAGCTGCTGCTGCTGCTGGGCGAGTTGGGCGGAGAGGAAAGGCAGGTGTTGGAATGAAGGGGCGGTGGGTGCCAAGGGATCGAAAGGGAAGGTTGGCGCAGTGGAAGCATGGTCGCTTGGGCGCACGGGGAGAGAGGGCGACGGTGCTTGCTCAGCCACGGATGGCGCATCAGAGGGTGCCGTGGAGTCAGGCTGCGGCTGTGCGGGCGGGGTGGGCGAGGCAGGGCCTGGCAGGGGCGTTGACGCCGGGGGGGTGTCTTGTGGAGGGGATGTGGTGAGGGAGGCGGAAGCGGGCTTTCCTTGAGGCTCTGCTGTGTGCACTGCTGACACCTGTGTTGGCACTGCTGTGTCCTGGACATCACTGGCTGCTGTGCATGGCAGTGGCCGCGAGAGAAGCGCCAAGTGGGAGAGCGACAGCGGGAGAGGAGAGGGAGAGAAGAGGGAGGGTGTTGAGGGAGAGATGATGAGCAATGGTGATGTGTAGTGAGGTAGGCACGGGGAAACGGGAGGGGAGGAGCGGCCTCGGCGCACGTGAGGCTTGCAGGGGCAGGGAAAGATGATCGAGAAGGGTAGCTGTACGCGTGCGTTAGAACTGAGTGAATGGGTGGTTCAAACGGTGTGCGGAAGGAAGCGGAAAGTACTCACGAAAGCCGCGATCGAAGGAGAAAAACGGGAGGAGAAAGAGGAAGGGGCGGCGTGGAGGGGTGACGGCAGCGGAGGAGGAGAGGGTTGGGGGGAGAGATGAGGCGAGGGAAAGAAGAAGGCGTGGGGGCATCGGGGTTTGAGAGGAGGCCGAATCTTAGCACGCAAAACATGGAAGCCTCCAGAGAGTATGCGATGGAAAAATCTGCGTGCGAGGGATGCGAGAAACGGAACGAGCACCCACGTAGCTGAGCTCAGGTCGAATCTCACCACTGGGCTGTTGCGATAGCGATTGCATGGCAGTCGCATCGCCCGTGATAAATCGCAGCCGCTCGTTGCCCTGGTTCAAGATCCGCCGTCGACGAGCTTCTCGGCGAGCAGCCGCGTCGGCCATGGCAGTGCTTTCTAGGAGAGAATGGCCTGAGATCACGATAGTTTCTAGTTTTCTAGCAAATGCCACGAAATGCAAAAATGGAAGTTCAGAAAGACAATAGGACGCTGAAGTATAGCCAAACACCAAGGAAATGAGAACTTCCTATATCGCACCTGATCTCACGCGTACAAAACCCAACATTGGAAAACAAAATTTCTTATTGTAGGAATTTTTTTTACAACACCAAGCCCTAACATATCATTATTATTTATACAGATTTCCTGATTTCAGGATAGTGCTCGGCAGGGAAAACACCAAAGTAAAAAAATCATTCCGTCTGACGATCAGACGGGCATATTTTTATGGTCTGATTTTCCAGACGATGTTGAAGCTTAGTCTGTTTTTCAGACTACTAAATTTGCATAGTCTGATTCAGCTAACACCCTTGCCTAGCATAATCACACTTGTTTTTGTTAATGAACGCGCCCATGGCGCGTCGCTGACAGCTCGCTAGCTGACAGGCGTGTGGCTGTTGAGGGGCATGCATGTGGCATTGAGGTGCTGCGAAGGATCAGGTTGGTGAGAATGAAGCGGGGGGCTGGGCTGCTGCGAGACTTCACAAGGGGCACGGGGAGGGGACCTAAGGCTGGGGGGAAGGGGGAGAAGGTCTGGACTAGGCCTGGAAGAGGAGCGAAGGCTTCGAAAGGTGGGCTGAGCTGTTAGAGAAGTGAGAGATCGGGGGAAGAGGGGGGGAGGGGGTTCGGTATTGTTGGGCTGAGAAAAGCCCTTAGGATCTTTGCAAGGGTTAACTCTTGGGTAGGAATAATGTAATAGCGGAAGCGTTTAACTGAGAGATTGAACCACCTTGCGCTGGTATGTGAGGGCAAAGTATATTAATTAAAACAGAGAGATACAAGATTATATAGGAATACAAGGAATATGAAAGGATACAGTTATAACTACTTTACTATTGCTGTTGCGGTTCGATACAGTGACGACTCGGGCAACTGCTCTGTAGCGAGTCAGTTGTGTGTCCTTGCTGTCGCACTGTACTTGTCAGGTCAAAGGTCGCTGACCTTTGACTTTCGCGTAACCTCCAGCAGTTACTTTCAACCTCCGAGGGTTGACTCGCTAGTGCTTCGGTATGCTTCGCTTCGCTTGTGCCTTAGTGTTTCGACACGACAGAGGCGCTTAGAATCAATTGTTTCCAACACTCCCCTTCGCTTCTGGAGTGTCGCTGCTGGTGACGTGGCTCTGTCCAGTCAGCAGCATGCAGTACTCGAACTTCTGCTTTCCGAGTTTCTTGGTCAAATAGTCAGCTGCCATCTCGGATGTGGGGCAGTATGACAGTTCGAGTCTCCCCTTGTCGATTTCGTCCTTCACGAAGAAGTTGTCAGAATGTTATGTTTGTCTAGCCTGCAGTGGGGTACTCTATAGTGAGTACAACCCAAACTAGGGTTTCCTATATGTATCCTACCTGCTGCTAGTGCAAATCTCTCCTTCCTGTTTCTATCGTTTGCCTAGCTTTCTTGACATGCTATCAGAGCAGGTCGACCCTCCTGGGTCGATCCTGTGGGTGGGCCCACCCGATGCTTCCGCTGCTGTTCTGCTTCTCGCGCGCCTCGGCCGCGAGACGTTTTCTGCCTGCCGTGCGTTCGCAAGGCGCGGCGTTTTTAGGGTTTCTACGGTTTTCTGCTCGCCGCGCGCACGGAGCGCGCGGCGGTTTTCTGCCTACCGTGCGCCCCGAGGCGCGCGGCGGTTTTCTGCCCCGTCGACCCGCGAGTCGCCCCCCCCGTCGACGGACGCGTCGCCCCGCAGGCCTCCGCGTCTCCCCCCGTCAACCGTCGAAGCGCCCCCCGTCGCCCGACGCGGCCCGCGCGACCTGCGCCAGGCCCGCGCGCGGCCCGTACGGGCTGCGCCAGGCCCGCGCGCGGCCCGTACGGGCTGCGCCAGGCCCGCGCGCGGCCCGGGCAGCCCGCGCGCGGTTCGTCCGGCCTGCGCCAGGCCCGTGCGCGGTCCGGGCAGTCTCCCCCAGTGCCGCACGCCGTCCCCCGAGCTTCTGACCGCGCCCCACCCCCGCTGCTGCCCGCGTTCCTGTGTTAGGGTTGGGGGTGGAGAGTATTGTCAAACATTATATATGTTGTGTTTGTGTAGGCTGTAGTGGGTTAGCCTATAGGGGGGTCACAACATTAGGGTTTCATATTTGTACTCACAATCCTTTCTAGTTCACCATTCCAGTCCGTTATCACTGACATGGTTTCAGAGCAGGTCCGTCGCTAGGACTGTTCTTAGGGCCCACCTACCTACCTACCTACCTACTGTGCGCCTCGTGCGCCTGCGCGTCCTAGAGCGCTCCTTACCTACCTACCACGCGCACGCAGCTCGCTAGCCGCCCGCGCGTGGCTTTCTTTTTTTTTTTTTTACCGCGCGCGCCGTACTAGCCGCTCGCAAGGACCTCTACACCGCTGTAGTTGCCCGTTACTCCTCACCCGCTTCTGCTACGCTAGGCCGCCTCACTCTCCCCTACCTGTTCCCCGACCTAGCCTCCTTTCACACTGTCGCAGACCTCATCACCCACCTTAAGACTAGTGAGGCCCGCTTTCGCGCTGCTATGCCTGCCGAGTTTCTCACTAGCAACCCCCCCCCGCTCTGGATCACTCTCTACCACATCGTCACCCGCCTCCCTGACTCTCTGCGCGCAGTCAGGGACCACTTCCTCTCTCGCTCCCCCACTGAGCTCACTGTTGCCCTCCTCGAGAAGGAACTGCTTGCAGCTGAGGCGAGCATCGTCGCTGTAGGCACCTCTCGTGGCGACCCCCGCACCCCGTTCTTCGAGGGGTGTTCCCCTTCCCCCCTCCTCCCCTCTGTCGCCTCTGCTGCTGCTGTCGACCTCCTTGGTGCTGAGAAGGTCGGGACCGCGTCTACTTCGGGCGCCGCAGGAGCAAGGGAGGCAGGGGTGGGGGTGGTGGCGGAGGAGGTGGGGGTGGAGGCGGTGGGAGTGGAGGCGCGACTGGGGAGGCTAGTGGCGGCAGTGGGGGAGGAGACAGCAGCGGCGGGAGCGGTGGCAGGGGTGGAGGCGGCAGCGGAGGTGGAGGTGGTCGTGGCGGCGGCAGGGGTGGAGGTGGCCGAGGCGGTGGTGGTGGCGGTGGTGGTCGTGGAGGCACTGGCGGAGGCCCGAGTCAGCAGCCCGCCCCGTCGCTTCAGGCCGCCCGTGAGTGGTATGCGCAGCGTGGCTTTACCTGCACGTACGTCATTCGCACAGGTGACCGCAGCGGCCAGCAGTGTGGGAGGCCGCACCCCACGCACCGCTGCTTCGCGCGCCTTAACGACGCGTGGCGCACCCAGTTTCCTGATGCCGCTGAGCTGCCGCGCTGGGCTGATCTGGAAAAGAGGGGTGTCGATATTTGGGCTCTAGACTTTGATGCTATTCTCACTGCCATGTATGCCATGTCTATTAGTGGAGAGGGTGCTCAGTACTTGCGTGTTCCGCCCGACCCGGGCATTCAGGCCAGTCCGGCTGCCGCTCTAGGTGCTAGTGCGTCTGCTCCCACAGGTCCTGGTGAGGCTGCTGCCCTAGGTGCTAGTGCGTCCGTGCCCCCTGGTACTGAGTTGACTGCAGCACTGCACACCTTCACACTGGACTCAGGTGCCTCTCGCTCTTTCTTTCGTGACCGCACTGTCCTTGAGCCACTCGCTCGGCCAGTTGCTGTCTCCCTTGCTGACCCCTCTGGGGGTCCGGTCATTGCGACCTCCTCCACTGTTCTTCCTTGTCCTGCGGTCCCGTCCGGCACGCTTTCAGGTCTCTACCTCCCCTCGTTCTCTACGAACTTGGTGGCGGGTTGTGCGCTCCAGGACTCGGGTGTTCACCAGTTCACCCCTGCCTACGAGCGCGTGACACACTGCACGTGTGCTCGGACGGGTCGCCACCTGGCTACTTTCACTCGAGAGCCGGGGTCGGACCTGTACACACTGACCACTGAGTCCCCTCAGGTAGCTGCGTCTGCGTCTACGTCTGCGTCTGCGTCAGGTCAGCTGTCCGCCCCCTGCTCGTGTCGCTCTCTGGCGCATGAGACTGTCCTTTGGCACCACCGCCTTGGTCACCCGTCTGTGCAGCGCCTTCGGGCCATGCACAAACGGGACCTTGTTGCTGGTCTTCCCAGGGTGCTCCCTCCCCTTCCCGACTCGCCTGCTCCTCCCTGTATTCCCTGTGTCGAGGGGCGGCAGCGCGCCGCTCCTCACTCCTCCTCTTTTCCCCCGACGACTGCTCCCTTGCAGACGCTCCACTTGGACGTGTGGGGCCCAGCCCGCGTCCGTGGACAGGGTCAGGAGCGGTACTTCCTGCTCGTTGTTGACGACTTCTCGCGCTACACCACGGTCTTCCCCTTGCGAGCCAAGGGTGACGTACCTGATGTCTTGATCCCTTGGATCCGCAGATCTCGTCTCCAGCTCACCAGGCGTTTCCGCTCCGACTTTCCTGTCCTGCGTCTGCACTCTAACAGAGGTGGGGAGTTTTCCTCTGGCCTCCTGGAGGCCTTCTGTCAGCAGGAGGGCATTGAGCAGTCGTTCACGCTTCCGGCCTCTCCACAGCAGAATGGGGTTGCTGAGCGCCGCATTGGTCTAGTCATGGAGGTCGCTCGTACCTCCTTGAGTCATGCGGCTGCCCCCCATTTTCTGTGGCCGTTTGCGGTCCGATACGCTGCGCATCAGCTCAACCTCTGGCCCCGTGTCTCCTTGCCCGAGACTTCTCCGACACTACGTTGGACGGGAGAGGCTGGCGATGCGTCGCGTTTTCGGGTCTGGGGATCCCGAGCTTTTGTCCGCGACACGTCCGCGGACAAGCTCTCCCGTCGCGCTGTCCCCTGCGTCTTCCTTGGCTTTGTCCCGGACGCCCCTGGTTGGCAGTTCTACCACCCCACCTCGCGTCGTGTCCTGGCCTCTCAGGACGTCACTTTTGACGAGTCCGTCCCCTACTACCGCCTCTTCCCCTACCGCACTGCCCCGCTCCCCCCCCCGCCTCTCTT